TCCCAACCCACCAGTGGGTCCCAGGCACCATGCAGGGAGGAGAGTTGAAGAATGAGCCCACACCTCACTCATCTCGCAGTGGTGTCTCCTGTCCCACATCGTCTGGGCCTGTTCCAGGCATTGCAACCTTGTGCATGGGGTTGCAGCACCACTCAGGCTTGAAGGGGCAGCCAAGCCAAACCTGAGTGCCAGTGCAATCCTGTGCACTAGGCTGCAAACACCCAGAGCAGGGACCCAGGCCCAACTCCGCTGGACAGGAGCCACCACTGTAGGGTGAGTGCAGAGCAGGCTCTCTCTCCAACATCCCTCTGTTCCCCACTCTGGGGCCTCCCCTCTGCACCGGTGTTAGGGTTGCAGTGGTGGGGTGGAAAGTGATGCTACAGGTGGTCGGTGCCCCTTCAGCGGGGCAAGGAGGAGGAGAAGGACATTGGCGAATGATTTTTGGCTCATTCCCTCCATGAATTTGGACCCTGGGTGAGTCACAAAAAAAGACAAAATGCATTTGGTGGGTCACCTTAGTAAAAAGTTTGGGAACTACTCCTCTAGGTCTTCACAGCTAGGCTGCGCCTCAAGCTTGCTGATTTTTTTCTATATAACATCTCTAAGACATGGCCCTTTCCATCCATTCAAGATTAGAACGCTGGTCCCCGTCATCTCGTGTCTTGATTCCTGCAACATCTTTTTTTCTTGTCTTGACACAAAGTCTTATACCCATTCAGAACGCTGCTGCTGCCACTAAGATTATTGCCCAAGCATGTCATCTGACTATGTCATCCCTCTCTTTGCATCTCTTCCTTGGTTCCCGCTTCTCTATCACATCAAACAATCTACTTGCTGTTTCAAGGCCCTTCGCAGCCTATCCCCAGCTCTTATTCGCTATTGAGATGTCAGCTCCCTCCTCTGATGGCCCTAAGGTGCCAGTCTCGATCCTCAACTTGGTAAATCTTCAAACAAACATCTACGTGCTTCCTCCCATGCTGCCCCTTATGCTTAGGAGCTCCCTGTAAACATCTTCCTTCAAATCCCTCCTTTACTGGGATACCTATAAAAAACTGGACAAAAGTCAGGCCACTTGGTGTGCTAATACCGTTGATTAGCATGCTGATCAATGCTGCCTGTTTCCTTGCACTCCTGTCTGTTTGTATCTATCTGTTGTCATTTGTCTTATACTTAAGGCTACGATTTAGTCACAGAGGTCACAGATTCCGTGACTTTACCAGACCTCCGTGACTGCTAGGGCTTGAGGAGAAGGCAGGACTGTGCGCCCCTGCCCTGCAACTGGGGCTGGCTGGAACCAGGACCCCACAGCCCCAACCCCGCGGCTTCTGCCAGGGCCATGTGCCCTAGCCCCATGGCGTCCCAGGCTCGAAGGAGGCTACAGATGGGGCTGCGCGCCCCAGCCCTGCAGCATCCCAGGCTTGGCAGGGGCTGCAGCCAGGCCCATGCACTCCAGCCCTGCAGCATCCCGGGCTCAACGGAAGCTGCGGCAGGGCCACGCTTCGCTGTCCTGCGACTGCAGCCAGCTCTGGAGTGGGAGCTGTGTGCCCCCCATGGCTGTGTCCCCTGCTGCGGCTCCTGGAGCAGGGGCTGTGCTCCCTGCGATGGCGGGGGACTCGGCCTGTCAGTCCTCCCCCCTACCTAGCCCTGCCCCCTGGTTATTTTTAGTAAAGTGACAGACAGGTCACGGGCTCTGTGAAATTTTTATCGCCAGTGACCTGTTTGTGACATTTACAAAAAATAACCATGATAAAAATCTTAGCCTTACTTATACTTAGATGGTAAGCTCTTTGAGGCGGTAACTGTCTTTTTGGTCTGGTTTGTACAGAGCCTAGCACAATGGGTCCTGGGCCATGACTAAGACTCCTACGCACTACAGAAATATAATCATCACCATCTAATGCAGCCTGAATTGAACATGATCTTCATGCTCCAGATTCCAGCCTCATACAACTTAGAGCATCAGCATCAGACTTGGAAATTCCCAACCAGGGACTGCCAGAGCACAATGCGCCCCAGCTTCCCTCCCTCGGCACCCTCCAATCTCAAGGGAAATAAGGAAGGCATGGGAAAGGCATACTACCTGATATGCCACCTTGGAATTCCCCTATCATAGGGCTCCCCTACAGATGGTTTAGACAATTTATGCCTCCTTTGCATGTGACACAGAAGACAACACATCACAAGCCAAGATCAGGCCCTAGATCACTTTCACAAACTCAAGAGTCTGTCGGAATTCGACACTTACCCCACAGTCGCCATAGATTTCAGTTGACGCATTTATATATTGCACCGTTCTCCCACAATACAATCCAAGGCAGGCTGGTTGGATATCTACAGCTTTTAAAAACACAAGAGTTGCAACACTGTAGTACATCACGTTACTGGAGACGCAACAACAAAGCAAATGAAACAGTTTGTTGCACTGTACTTAAGAAATGGAGTTCTAGGCTCAAACTAATCTCTTTGGTCCCGATCCTGCAAGGAGAACCACACACCTGGACTTCGTGACCAAAGTCAAACCCTGACTTAGGGGGGGTTCTGCATAGATGTCCACATTTGTGGTCCTCTGGGCAGGAGCGGGGCCCTTTGGCTGCTTCTCTCACACAGGGAACGTGTTGCAGAGCGGGGTGTAGCAGAGGGTGCTGGACTGGGAGTCAGCAACAGCAACCTGGGCATCCCCACCCATCCCCCCTCCAGCTCCGAGGTATTCCCCCCTCCCAGCTCCGAGACACCCCCCACACACACACACACGCCC